TGTGAATGGTGTGAGTGGTGTGACTGGGGGGGCGGGGCGCTGTATTAATATTACCAGCGCCCCCCTCTCCCCGCGCTGATTTGGGCCATCCATTACTGTACTTGTGGACACGTGTATGGATGGGTGTAAAAGGAAGTCCCACCCGGGCCTAGGTGTGAGTGGTGTGAGTACTTTTGATTCCTTTACCGAATAGTGCGATACACATGTCGTGTTTCTGGTGGTTTGCGTGGTTGTAAAGTAAAGATTCTTGCAGAATGATAGACATAAAGCAAAGGCGGGAAATTGATTATGCTTTTGAATTATTTTGAATGAGGCTTTTTCATCCTTTTTATTTGTAATGTTCAAGTGAATAGAGGTAGACGATATAAGAACTGGTGTTGTTGAAGGTGTTTCAGCAAGTGATTTCAGTTGTATTGAACTTGCTTTGTCTAATTTATTTTCTCAGTTATGGTTGAGATACAAACAAAAGAATATTAAGGTTGATAAAATATTCCCCTTTTTGCGCATCCAATGCTAGTGTCAGAGTAAATATGTACGATAGGAGGTTAGATAGTAACGACAGTTTGCAGGCGTACTTTATTTTCCCTGTGGATTGCCAATGCAAATTAGTTTATTATGGGAATGGCTATTGTTCAATTAACAACAAATAGGTACGGGGGGTTTAAACTATTTTCCTTGTACTTGTGGACACGTGTATGGATGGGGTTAAAAGGAAGTCACACCCGAGCCCAGGTGTGAGTACTTTTGATTCCTTTGTCGGATAGTGCGATACACGTGTCGCATTTTTTGTAGTTTGCGTAGTTGTAAAGTAAAGATTCTTGCAAAATAATAGACATAAAGTAAAGGTGGAAAAATGATTCTGCTTTTGAATTTTTTTGAAAAATGATAAAGCAAAGACGAAGATGCCCCATTCAAAATAATTCAAAAGCATAATCATTTTCCCACCTTTGCTTTATGTCTATCGTTCTACAAGAATTTTTACTTTACAACCACGTAAACCACCAGAAACGCAACACGTGTATCGCACTATCCGGCAAAGGAATCAAAAGTACTCACACCACTCACACATGGGCCCGGGTGTGACTTCCTTTTAACCCCATCTATACACGTGTCCACAAGTACAGCAATGGATGCCCCAGATCAGCGCAGAGGGAGGGGGGCGCTGGTAATATTAATACAATGCCCCCTCAATCACACCACTCACACCATTCACACCAGGTTTTTTAACTAATAGGGAGACTTTGTACGGCTAATATGAGTTCACTGTTTACCTATTCAAAAGTTGTTTGGTTATACTTAATGTGATTTATAACTCAATTATTTTTTAGTTATGACTCTTATAGTATTTAGTTATATTATTTATGATAATCAAATTTCTATATGTGTATCTTATTTTCCGAAGACCAACCTCTCAACTATTAGGAAGAAGTATGTCTACTACCAGCATATCTAGAAATTACCGTATGAGATAGAATCCCTTCAAACCTCTAGAAACTCTGTATCTTCTGTTCGAAATGACTCTTTTGTCCAAGGACTTAGATTTTCAAAACATCAAATACAACATGGAGTTTATACTGCTACTCTAACAAAACGACCACCTGCTCCTCTTGCTCCAGATCATGCGCGAAGGGAAAGCCCTACGGCCAGTGAAATGAAATTTCAAATTATGATATTAGTTACAACAAAATTTTGGTTATGATTCAAAAGTTGTTTGGTTATACTTAATGTGATTTATAACTCAATTATTTTTTAGTTAAGACTCTCATAGCATTTAGTTATATCATTTATGATAATCAAATTCATAAATGACATAACTTATATATGGTATAGACACATATTATTTAATCAACGTGAATTATCACAATTTTTTTTTCTTTTCCATTCTTAAATTGCTTATATGTGTATAGTTATTTCAAATTTTACATAACTATTCAAATAGGAGTATATTTTTTTTTGGGGGGAAAAGTACACTTTATCCCTTTTAATTATTATCATTTTTTACTTTACCTATTCAAATTACTAAAAACTAATACAATGTATCTCTTTCATCTTCTAAATTTTTTTAATCTGACTCTTATGTTTCCTTTTTGTTAACAAAACAGACGGAAAAGGAGCATGTAATGTGTACATATCATATTTATAATAGATCTTTAAAGGATATTTTTCATCATAAATATGCCATATGCATATTACATTCACATTTTTCGTTTATTTTATTAATAGAATAGAGACATAAATATTAGATTGAAATTTTTTAAAAGATAAAAAGGACCAAATTGTATTAATTTTTAATTTGAGAAGGTAAAATGAAAAATAGTAATAGTTGAGGGATAAAATGTAATTTATCATTTTTTTTACAATTAATTAACTTTCATAACAAGGTGAGATCGAATTTGGGGATGCTACTGCGCAGCCCGCGCAGCAACATCTGTTGTGCGGCGAAATGGGCCCATTTTGGGGCCTATTTCGATAATTCAAACTATTCACATTTTAGAATACATCAAATAGAATATGCCTGCAAAAAATCAACAGATGCTGCTACGCGGCTACACAACAGCATCCCTAAATTGCCAAACGATATTGACACACACCCAGAGCGGTTTCCTCTGCATTGGTCTACGTAGAATACATAAATGTGCTACTACTTGGGTTGCACCAAAGCTATTGCCTCTGAAAACTTCCATGCCAAGCTACGCTAGGCCGGCCTTTGAGTCATAGCCGCGCTCGATCAATGCTTCAGCGGCCTCCTCCAGGCTGATCAGCCATGGGCGCGAAGTCAGTCATCTCGGCTGCGTAGCGCAGCGTTACGCCACGCCTAATCTAGCCGATCTTGTGACGTTGCCATGATCTCTACAATCGTGGTGCTACAAGATAGCCTAGTCCAGGAACAGGGCCTATGCTAAGGTAGCCCGGCCGAAATAGACTGCTACAACACCAAACTCCGCACTGGCACAGCTCGGCCCAACACTACATTCCATGTTCCTCTGGCACAGCCCAACACCATATTCCATTTTAGTATAGTTCGGCTCACTGTTCAGCACAAATCTCCCTCTCATGTACATATCATATTTATGACAGAACTTTAAAGGATATTTTTTTATCATAAATATGCCATATGCATATTACATTCACATTTTTCGTTTATTTTCTAATAGAATGAAGACATAAATGTTAAATTGAAAATTTTTCAAAAATAAAAAGGGCAAATTGTATTAATTTTTAATTTGAGAAGGTAAAATAAAAAAAAAGTAATAGTTAAGGGATAAAATGTAATATACCATTTTGTTTACAATTAATTAACTTTCATAACAATGTGAGATCTAAGTATGAAAAATGTTAGGAAATTGTATGTTAATGCAGAGATTAATTAATAAAGTATAATATGGCATAGTTTGGGAAGTTGGTTTTGGTGGGTTAGGGGCTAAAATAGTCATAAAAAATAAAATAAGCTATTTTAGGCATAAAAAACAAAATATCAAATCTAACCCATAATTATTACACTCCTCTCTCACAAAAAAAGTCAAAAAAGCCAAAAAGTCTTTCCCAAACCAGGCTTTTTAGCCCCAGGCTAAAATAGCCAAAAAGTCAAAAAGTCAACCCACTTCCCAAACGGAGGCTATATATATATATATATATATATTTTTAAATTTTGTGTAATTTCTTATAGAGTCTCAAGGCCTATTTAGATAGGAATGTATTTCACAAAATCCCATCAGTTGTAAATAAATGGTATTAAGGGGTTGTTTGGGATGTTCTAAATAAGTTCACTTTTTGATTTTTTATGAAATATGGGTTGGGTTTGAAATGATGTGGCAGAGAGGTGATGTGACTTAAATAAAATGATGTGACTTAAATAGGATAGTTACTTTTTAATTTTTTGTCTTTTTTCAGACTTGCCAAACTTGGCCTAAGTTTGCAAAACGTAACGTGACACGTTACGTTACGTTTATGTAGGTGTCACGTTACGTTTCACAAACTTAATGTATGGTAATATTCAATTTGCTATATAAGAAATTGAATATTACCATAAAAAGTAACATTTTCACATTCAATTAAAAAAATCAAAAACCTAGTAAGTTTGCGAAACGTGGTAACATTCAATTTGCTATATAAGAAATTGAATGTTACTGTGGGGATGTATTTTCTGAATACCAACACGTGGCATGGTGACGCCGACGTGTCAGCCGAGGTGCCACGTGTCGTGGTAGTTAGGCCGAGGTGATCTTGGTGTTACCGAGGTTATCTCCGAAGACATCGGAGTCCGAGATAAACAGATGAGGGACAAGAGTCCTAAGACGAAGAGGGGACTTAACCAAGATAAAGATAAAGTTCTTAGGGAGTTTATTTTTATCTCTTAAAGAGTCCAAAGTAAACACTGAATTGGAAGTTCATAGAAGTCATACTTCTAGTAGGACTTGGATTGAGTATATTATAAAAGAGAGGCACCCCCGTGGGTCTAAGGTATGCAATTTATGTTTTGAGTATTACGTTTAGCACTTGATTATCTTTGAGAAATATACTGACTTGATCGTCGGAGTGCCCCCGGGTGGAAGAACCACCGCCGGAGCTTTTTCTTTCTGTTACAGGTTACCGAAGCCATCTATTCTGCCTGTGCTCTCCAGTTGATCACTAAACGGGCAGTGTGGTCAAATTTTCACCCACACAGTTACCATAGAAAGTAACATTTTCACATTCAATTAAAAAAATAAAAACCCTAACGTTACGTTATGTTTATGTAGGTGTCACGTCACGTTACGTTTATATAGGTATCAAATGTGTCAACAAATTTCACACAAAACTTATGAAAATATAAATTTTTTTTGTAAGATCATATGTAGCGTAAGTCTCTTAGGATTTATAAATAATTTAACTTTTTTTTTTAAGTAAATTTTGAATTGATAAAGGTAAATTTATAATATTATTGTAGAAGTCATTTTCTGGTGGCGTTGTCTGTTCGACGGTCGATTCCATGGTTTGATTGGCACTAAAAAGTCCCCTCCAAAAGCGCGTGGTAAAAAGCTAACAAACAAACACGCATGAAAACCCCCTCCACATAAATCCTTCCCTCTACGTCTACTCTCCCTTCGTTTTTGGGTGCTTCCTTGCACTACCACTACCTTCTCTCAGCGCAATCCAGATCTGTGCTCTCTCTAGATAGATATGGAGATCGTCGTCGTGGCCATCGTCGCTTTGCTCTTAACTTGCTGTGTGTCGCAAGTGAGATCGGATGGATCTGATCACAGGTACAAACTTGGAGGTCTGGTTCCTCTTTACGCCAACAAGGTCGGTCCCTTTCACAATCCAAGGTACAGATCTCTTCTTCCGCTTTTTACTTTAATCATCCCTTGATCTATTCTCTCCCTTGTCTTCTGATTTTATCTTGTTTCAATTTCAAGGGTTTTCATCCTATTTGACCTTTTCACTGTTGTAGTTTGGATTGAATTTTTGCCTTGGATTTGATTAAATTACTGTTTTTGTGTATGGCTTGGTTGGATTTTGGTCAAAACAAGCATATTTACTTGCATATATATATATATATATATATAATTACTTGTGTGTATGTTTTTAAATGTAGACTGGCAAACTAGGAGAGAATAAAAAGAAAAGATTTGGTAGGAGGAAATAGACAGTGCTTTCTCTCCTTGTTTGGATAATTTAGGAAAAATAATCTTGTTTGATTTGGGTTGTATTCGAAAATTGAATTTTTTTTTTCACTGAAACTTTTTAAATATTTTAAGTATTTTTTTAAATTTTAGATACATTCACCATAAATACATTAAAAAGGTATAATATTTTAAAAAAATTTACTAAATACAAAAATAAAAAATAATATGAAAATTCAGTATATTTTCATATTCTTGTCTATTTATTTATTTTTTAAAACATTTTTTACAAATTTTTTAGTTTTTAGGTGCATCTAAAAAAGTAAAAAAATTATTTAAATTTTAAAAATATTCACTAAAACAAAAATATACAAAATTGAAGAACTTAATTTCCAGAAAATTGAAACCAAACGCAGCATATCCCCTCTTGTTTGGGAAAATTAAATGAGAGATAAAAAGAAATTAATGCGAGGAGGGGAGGGAGATGGTGCTGAGGGCTTTTCCCAAATTAAGCCAAATTAACAACTTAATTCCAAACTAGGCCAGTTTGGACGGAATTCCCAAACTAGGTTAAAGCG